TTTTGCTTCATCGATTTCTATAATTTTATCAGGGCTGCCTAATTTATCTGTGGAATTATTTAGACACCACAGAAAAATTGCTTTCCTAATAAAATTCGCCCAATCAACAAAAGTTTTTGAACTTATACTAATTTCTTTCATGAGCGTAGTCTCACGTGGTGGTGGAAAAAACACGTACCACGCGATAAATTTACACGCTACATCGAGAGCGAGAGCAGATCTTTCGAACCAAGTCCCAGTTTTTAATGCTAATTTAAAATTGCATTTTACCAAAAATGTCTTTTTCCCTCTCTGTTCTTTATTTGATTTTTGGCATCTCCAAAAAAAATCATTTTAATTAAAAACTGCGGGTTTTTGACATGTCGGACAAATAACATTTTTTTTAATAATATTGTGATCCTCCAAGAATTTTAGCAATGAATCTTTATTATCCAATATTTTCAAGAATTCAAAGCATGTAAAAATACAACCTTCACAATCCATTGTTGATACAATAACTAAGGTTATACACTGAATAGCACCAAGGATGGGTTTGTAAGTTACCATAGACAGGGATGAGTCGCAACGGATAAACTCAAATTGAATACATTAAGGTACATCTACAATAATGAAAATACTGAATTCATAAACTGAAGAGCACCACGTGCTCTTCGGTTTGTAAGTTATCATAGACAGGGATGAGTCGCAACGGATAAACTTAAATTGAATACATTAAGATGCAATTACAATAATAAAAATACTAAATTCATACACTGAACAGCACCACTAATGGGTTTGTAAGTTATCACAGACAAAGATAAGTAGAACCTTGTCTCCTTCCTCGTCTTAATTGTACAAAGGGTGTCAAATTAAGCTCCTAGATGGCACTGGAAGGTACCTACACTACCGACGGAAATTGCGAACGCTAACATCTCGAGCTATTAAAAAACACACCTGCACAGAAAGAGTGATAACTCTTAAAAATGAAGCTAGATGCTTTTTTTAAATTGCATTGGAAAGCTTTTTAAATTTCTAAATGCCACTATTTTAAGTTGTATTGCATAAGTAGAAAGCGAGATATCATGTTATGAAGACAAAAAAATAATTCTATTTTTTTCGGAATTTCTTACCCTGACTTTGACTTCTGGCAAAATTTAGAAAAGTTGGTGAAAAAAATTGTTACTTTCACAGACTATTCCTTGTAACCTAAGCTTTTAATAGAAACCAAGAACAGCAAAAAATATTTACGGGTTCCCGAGATATTACAAAAAGAGTCGGACTGTGCGAAGCAATATTTTCAATCATCGATTTCTCTAATTCGCCTTTGAGTCAATTGCGTGGCTGTAAAAAAAGTGTCGAAAATTAATTTTACCAAGTACATTCTTACTGGGATCCACTTTTTAAATACTATTATATAATAAATTAAATTAAAAAATGGATCCCAGTAAGAATGTCCTTGGTAAAATTAATTTTCGACACTTTTTTTACAGTCACCCGCCATCATTGACTCAACGGCGAATTGCTTCGCACGGTCCGACTCTTTTTTTAATATCTCGGGAACCCGTAAATATTTTTTGCTGTTCTTGGTCTCTATTTAAAGCTTAGGTTACAAGAAATAGTCTGTGAAAGTAACAATTTTTTCACCAGCTTTTCTAAATTTTGCCAGGAGCCAAAGTCAGGGTAAGAAATTCCGAAAAAAATAGAATTATTTTTTTGTCTTCATAACATGATATCTCGCTTTCTACTTATGCAATACAACTTAAAATAGTGGCATTTCATTAGAAATTTAATAACATTTCCAATGCAATTTAAAAAAAGCATCTAGCTTTATTTTTAACCGAGTTATCACTCTTTCTGTGCGGGTCTGTTTTTTAATAGCTCGAGATGTTGGCGTTCGTACAATTTCCGCCGGTAGTGTACCTTACAACCTATTTTTGTAAAAACACGTTTCGGGGGGGTCGAAGTTAGGTGCCATCCAGTACCAACTAAGAACTTAATTTGACTCCTTTTCTACATAAAAGAGGTGAAAGGGAACCAGGCACGGCGGGCTCCGCCCGCCTCCGTATGGTGTCCTATGAAGGCACATTCAAAACGACATTTTTTTTATAAACACGTTGGAGGGTTAGGTCTGAGTTAGGTACCTTCTAGTACCAACTAGGAACTCAATTTGACTCCCTTTTTACATTAGGAACGTGAAAGGAAACTAGGAGCGGCGGGCTTCGCCCACCTCCGAGTGGTGTTTTGTAGACGCACCTTAAAAAGGCTTTTTTTAAAAAACACGTTATATTTATATATTTTTAAAAGTTGTTGAATTTCGAGAAGGTTTGAATTTGAAAATTTTGAAAATTTTAATTTCTATGGAAAAATAATAATTATTTAATATTTATTTTAAATAAAAACTATTGATGTTTGCGAATAATTTTACAGTTAAAGAGATTCGTAAATAAATGTAATAGAACATTTTTTTGAGTATCGAATTATTTTTAGAGTGGATTTTATAGAAAAAAATAATAATAATGAGGCATAAAAATTACGGGAATGATAAAAGTTGCTAAAGCATAAAAAATGATCCATATTCATTATAACGATTCATTACATTTTGTTTCTTCTATCATTAATATTCCTCATCAATGAAAGATATAAAATTCTATAATAGAGTCTTAACGATGTTACAATATTGACATATTTCTATTTAATGAATAATTAAAAAAATCTCATTATCAAACTTCTAGTTTAAAACCAATTAGTAATAAATTCCAAACCTGTCGTTCCTCAACGGGAAAAAAAAGTTTCCGCACTTAAGCTAATATAACTAGAAAATTAATAAAAGTTCATGTATAAATTAAAATAAGAATTAATCAAAATGCAGAAAGATCAATTGAAAATAAAGAAAAATTAGTAAAAAGTACATAAAAAATTAATAAAAAGTAGAAAAATTGGTAAAATAGCAGAAAAATTAATAAGAAAGAAGAAAAAATTAGTGAAGAATACAGAAAAATTAGTAAAAATAAAATTATAATTTAGTCCAAGAAAATAAAAATGACTTCAAAAAGAATTATAGAGTACAATTTTGATTATGCAATACAATTTAATCGTTGGAGTATGCAATGTCTTGGACTGTGGCCAATTGAAGATCGTTTATCAAATTTTCGATTTAATCTTACATTATTAACTATTATTTTATTAACAATTCCAGTGACGATAAAATGTTTTTATTTGGATAATTTTTTTAAAGAAATCGAAACAATTCTCCTTTCTATAAATCTAATATCAACAATAATTAAAATGTTATTTCTTAGAGCATCAAAATCAAAACTTGCTTTAATTGTACAGGACATGATTTTTGATTGGAATGACACGCCACTGTCAGAGGAGTCGAGAATTGCAATGAATTACAATTTAAAACGTGCAAGAACACTTACTGCTATATGTATAATATTTATAAATTCTGCCTTAATAAGTAAGTAAATTAAATGTAACTTTAAATGTATTATCTATTTTTTATTTTATTCTGACACTTTAGATTTTAAGCTTAGTAAGCAATTTAAACTATAATTTCAATTAGTGACTTATTTTTTGCATCTTTAATTTGTTAAAGTTAAAATAAAATTTTACTGAATTATTTATTTGATACATTTACTCCCGAAACAATTTATTTACTTTCTGAATTATTTATTTACTAAATTATGACTCGCAGTTACACTCGAAAGATGGTTTAGCGGTTTGCTTTTTTATTTTCTCTTTTTTTTATAATTTTTTATTTAAAATAATTTGAATTTAAAAATTAAAGAAATTCTAATTTTATATTTTGTAGATTTTATAAGAAAAGTTGGCATATTTTTATTTTAATGTCTTGTTTTATAGAAAATTAAAAAATTGAATTAAAAAAAAAATTTTTAATTTAATTTTAATACTTTTTTTCAAAAATATCACTTTTTTCTAATTAGTTCTTTTCACTAATTTAGATTTACAGAATAAAAGTTTTGTGATAATACTATTTTTGCAAAAAAAGTTTAGAAATTGTTTTTGTGTTAATAAACAAATTTTTTTAAACATTTTTGTTAAAACTTTTTAATTTTTATAACTTTTGTATTTTTAAATGTGAAATTCTTGCATACAAATTTATTAAAATTTTCAAAAAATAGTTAAATTGTTTCGAAAAATTTTATTAAAATTGTATCTATTAAAAATAATTGAATTTTTATAAAGAATTTCATCAATATTTTTTTTTATTCTTTGGAAGAATTTTATTTAAATTTTTAATAATAATATAATTCAACTATTTTAAGACATTTTATTAAAATTGCATTGAAAAAAATTAAGGTTCTTCGAAGAATTTTATTATAATTTTTGAAGATATTTGATTTCTTATAGAAAATTTTTTGAAAAGTTTTGAAATTGATTGAAAATTTTTTTCTCTAAATCTGAATTAGTTAAAAATAACTAATTATTACTAAAATCGTGGCTGACTCTTTGCTTTAGCAATTAGTAACAAATTACTAATTATTAGTAAATGAAGAACTACGAAAACAGTCAAATGTCACTAATTGATTTACTTACCAAGAATTTTAGTCATTTTGACCTAACCTAAAAATAAATTTAAAAAATAATTAATTATTATTAACTATTTTATCAATAAAATATTACTATTTGAATCAGTGACATGACTTTTTAATTTCATGTTATTAAAAATGTTTACTTATTTCAATTAATGACGGATGTTTTGCTTTTCAGTTAGTAAATTTTACTAATAAATAGTCATTTCTACTAATTAATTAGCAAAATATATTAATAAATAATAAAAATAAATAGTAATTTCTACTATTTATTAGCAAAATATACTAATAAAGAATAAAATGATAAAATAAATTTTACTAAAATAATATATAATAAATAATAATATTTAATGAATGAATTAACTAATAAGTGAATTTTTTTTAATATTTTGAATATATGAAATTATTGAAAGAATATTTCAAATTTTTATATTATAATGAATGTATTGCAGTATTTTTAATTAGGCCATTAATGGGATGGGGAATTGAATATAAAGAAAAATTATTACCATGCGGTGCTTATTATCCATTCGATGTGAAAATATCGCCAAATTATGAATTTATCTATTTGTCGCAAATAATATTTATGATTAACACTGTCACTGTTGCAATCAGTACAAATACTTTTTTAACGGCAGTTGTTTTTCATTTATGTGGACAATTGCAAGTGATTGCATTGAATGTTAAATATACAACGACATCAAAGAATTTTTATCATTTTGAATCGTTAATTCGTCAAGAATGTAAATGTCTGCATTGTATTGTTAAACGACATCTAAAACTAGTGAGGTAAATTAATTTCTTTTTTAATTAAAACTTTTAAATTAAGTTAAGTCGGTGTGTATTTAAATAAAGTTAATTCAAATAATTGAGGGCTCGGATCCAAGAACCGACGCTTCGCAATGTTCTGTGCGTTTACAAGCGTCGGTTCTTCGATGCGAGCCCTCAATTAGTTTCTTTTAGAAAAAAGTAATTATGTTGTTAGAAAAAAATTTTTTTTATAGCAATTCAGAAATTATTGAAAGTTCGTTTAATATTATGATTTTGATGGAAGTTGTCATTACTATTATGAGTCTTTGCATTCAGGGTTATGCTGTTTTAGTGGTAAAATTAAAAAAAATATTTTTAATATCGAAAAGTGCTTTTTTATTTTTAAATATTCAGATATATGTATTTATAGTGAATTGTTGTTACTGATCAATGGATATTTTTCTTTTTTAATTTTCTATTAGGTTTCACCGGCTACGGATACATCTGGGAGTTTTGTTAATATAGTTTACTTTTTAGCTCCAACTTTTTTAATTTTTTTATATGCCTACATAGGCGAAAATTTGATTGATCGAGTAAGTTTATTCAATATTTTACTTTTTATTTCTTCTTTACTTATATTTGTCATTTATTTTCTATACAACTATTTGTTCCTTTAACGTGTTTTTTACCATTTTTTATTTGCTTTTATTTTTCATAATAAAACATTAAACTTAACTATTATTCCTAGTCAAGGTATCTAATAAAAAAATTTCTTTTAATTTAATTTTAATATTTTTATTTATTTTTATTAAAATTTATTATTACTTAAAAAAATTAAATGATGATTTAAGAAATATGAGTGATGAAATAATTAATTTGTAATCTATAATTTATATTCATATGCTAAATACATAAATAATTATTCGAATTTCTAAAAAGAGTAAAGAAATAGCTAATGAAGTTTATGACGTAAATTGGTATGATTGTGATCCGAAGTTTACAAAGTCATTGCAGTTGGTTATAGTTCGATCGCAAAGACCATTGGAAATCACGGCAGGAAAATTTTTTCCTATGTCTTATCACGCATTTCAGAGAGTAATTTCTTGTATTTTTATTTTATCATTAATATATTAGTAACACAAATTTTTCATAATATTTTATAACTGATTTATGATTCAGATTTTGCTGTCCGCCTTGTCATATGCAACTGTTCTTCAAGCATCAAGTGGCAATCGTCATTATTTCTGAAAAATATTCTTATCGTAAAATTTAACATACATAATTAAATAATATAACAGATTTTTCATTTTATTTATTAAATAAAAATCATAAAGTGCACAGAAAAAATATTTCCCCTAGAACAGAGTTAATTTTCTCTGCAATATCAAAAGTCTTAACTGAAATATCTAAAAGTTTCGCTAATATAATAAAATTTGTAGTTATGTTCCAAATAAAATATTTTTTGCATGTAGGTAAATAATAGAATAGAAACGAAAATAAATAGCGAGTGACAAATATCTACTTATTAATTTAATAAAAGCAATAATTTAACACAATATTCAATAAAAAGAAATAACGAAGAACAAATATTTATTTATTAAATCAAATATTTGGAAAAATAAAATAAATAACGGGTTATAAATATTTTAACTTTTTATTTATCACATTGAAGGGGCAAGTCGACAAGTCGAAAATAATAAATAAACTAAAATATAAAATAATAAAAGTAAATAAAATATAAAATGCTGCAGCACGAAAGGTTATTTTATATTTTTAAGTCCGTTCAGAGTTTAAAAAAGTAAACAAAATATAAAATAAAAAGGAATTAAATATCAAATAAAAAAAGAAATAAAACATAAAATCAAAAAGTAATTAAAGTAATAAAGTATATAAAATATAAATAAATAAATTAAACAAAAATAAAATAAGAGAGAACAAAATTTTAAAAAATAAATAAAATAAAATGTTTGCTAGTAAAGCAAACAAAAAAGGAAATCCTAAATAATTTTCATTGGAAAAAAGAAAATAAAGACTTGTAAAAGTTTCCCTTTAACGTTAATCAATTTTATTTGAGTGGAACATAAAAGAAAAGGATGATACACACTACCAGTGAAAATGATACCTTTTACCTATTTTATGGTATTGGAAAAAGGCGAACACACACACGCACACATGTGTTAAATGAAAAACACTATATCCGCAAGAAATCGAGACATATATGGGGGATTATATAGGGGTCAGTCGTATTTTATGTCACTCTCTCTGGGAAATGTTACAGAAAGAGAGGGAAATATTGATCCCACCATGTTAAAGGTCAATTCTAAATTAAAATTATTGGCAAATTTCAGATTTTACCTCAATCATTCATTTTTATCATCTTGAAAAAATTCTTATATTTCAAAGAAAAATTCCGTATCTTACCACAGATATATCCCTTATTCCCTTCAATACGATTAAAAGTTATTATTAATTTTTTTAAGTTAAAGTTATTTATTATTATTAAAAGTTATTATTAATTTTTTTATTGTTTTATTTGTAGGGAAATATAGTCGAGGTCGGCCCACCTTTTGACTTTTGTTTATAACTTTTTTTAAAAATGAATTTGGACAATTAAAGTATATTGTTGGAAAGTCCTGTTTAATAGGAACATTTTTTCTGTACAAAGTAAATTGATTGGTTTTAAAATGAAAAAGTTATAAAGATTTAAAAAAAAAATTTGTAGTCCAGGTTGGTCCTGACAGTCAAGGTCGGTCCATGTTTAAAATTCAAAGGGCATTAATCGTTAAAAAATAAAATAACATGTTTGGAGTTACGGAAAATTGATTCTTTATTGTTTACAGCTTGTAACTTAATGAAATAATAAAATAATAAAAATAAACAATATAAAAAAATAAATATGAATAGAAAAAAAAATTTGCACTGAAATATTAATAAAATTAAATAAAAATATTAATAAGACTATCAATTATATTATAAGTTATTCAGAATTGCAGTTTTTGCAAATGAAGTAGCTCGTCCTCCTCTTTGCGCATTTTAAACACAAAGTGGCCGACCTTGACAGAAAGTAACATTACCGAATTGTTGTAAACATAAAGAAATACGTTTCAGGATTCGATTTTTTACTTTGTTTTTCTTTCAACCATAAGTCCCAGAAAATTTCTGCATGCTTGCCTTGACGATTCAATTTTTTTTAATCTTTTATTAATGGTTTTTCACATTATGCACAAAACTTTTTTAAGCTTTTTTTGTACCGACGTCACAGAAAACACAATTTTCGATTCTCCGAAAATGTAATTGAACAAAAAGTTAGGTTCCACTAAGACAAGCTTCGACAAGCATGCGCGTAGGTGGCGCTAGTGAACTTGTCCAAAAATCGCGAATGGCCTACCTAGACAGTGGTTCAACCTCGACTATACTCCCCTACTTGCCGAAGTAATTAAATTTCATTTTGTTACTATTTTCGACAAATTAGCTTAGACGGCCAACTTAGGACCACTCTCCCCTATTTATTTTGTATTTTTATTTATTTATTTTTCTTGCTGGATTTTCTCTGTTACGTCAAATTTTAAAATAGCGGATCCAAAATGTCAGAAAAATTAAAAAATTTGATAGGATTTGCTTGAAACTTGTTACTCGGAGGTTACGAATCTGAAGTTCATTTTAAAAAATTCAAAATGGCAGATCCAATGTGGCCAACGAAAAAGTTAAAAATCACTCGAATTTGCTTGAAACTTATTACAACTTTTTTCTAAACTCAATATTTTCAGACTTATAGGCAATACTGAAATAAGTCTACTTTAATAAATCGAAAATTTCAAAAATTCATAACTCGAAAATTTGGGCAATTAAACAAAAAGTAAAAAATACGTATATAGGATCATATATTTTTATCAAAATCGAGAAAACAATATGTTTAACCGATTTAAGAAGGTCATAGGTAAATTTCACGTGGAATCGCTCATATTTATATGAATAGGTGTAAGATAAAACAAAAACCACTCGAGCTGTCTTAATCCATAAAATAAATCCAGTTGACCGATGACTAATGGTCGCTTTCCATTAGCACAAAAAAGCTCTTTGCGCGCAGTTGGAGCAAAAATGTCACACCTATGCACATACAATAAGACCCGCACTCTCTTTCAGCGAGACATAATTTCTTTGAAAAATTGAAAAATGTATTCTCTAAAATTTCAGAATAAATTATAAACTAAAATAAAAAAAATTGCGGATAATTTCAAGATTGACACGATTCGATCGGAATTCATATCTTGGGAGTTTTTGGTTGTCAATGAATTCGAATTTGATGTTCGTTTTTAAAAATTCAAAATGGCGGATCCAATATGGCGACCAAATTTTTTTAAAGTCGCCAGATTTGTATAAAAATATTTACTCGTCAACTTTCAAAAAATTTGGTCTTCAAATTTGATCCACCCTTTTGAATTTTGAAAATCTTACATCAGATTCGTAATCAGCGAATCCTAAACCCCCCCCCAAGTAAGTTTTAAGTCAATCCGATAGATTTTTAATTTTCTCGTCCGCCATATTGGAACATTAAATTTATGTCTATTTTCATTTATAGGAAAAATGGATTTATTAGTTTTAGAAAACTTGATCCTCAATTGTATTTTTCCACTTTTTTTTATTTTTACTTTTTATAATATTTGACATTTTTTATTACTAACTTTTAACTGTTTGTTTTTTAACATTAGTTTTTTAATTTTTACTGCACTCTAATCATAAATTAGTAAAATATCACTAATGTCAGTAATAATTTTACTGAATGATTTGGTGGAAGAGTTTACATTCATTTTTATCAGTAAGTTTTCACTGATTCAAATTTAGAATGTAGTTCTTTCTTTTGCTATATTATTTTTCTTATATTGTTTATTTTTTCATTATTAGTAATTTTTTACCATTATAGGGTCAGTCCATTATATTTCACTTAAAGCTGTTGCGGCCTACTTTTAAAAAAATCTCATAATTTGTAATACTGATGTTTAATATCCATAAAATTCATTTTTGAGAATTATTTTATAAAATTTTTTGAATTTAACTTAGAATTTTATTTTTTAAGTTGAGTTGCACAGAAAGAAGGTTAGATTGACAGTTTTGTAAATTTAATAAAAAAGCATGGAAATAATTTAGATAATACAAATTTCTTGATTGATATTTGTTAAAAATGAGCTAATTTACTTGTATAAATAGATTATTATGTAAACATACTCAAAATAATAGATAAAAATTGATTTTAAAACTTAACTATGAAATGTCAAAAGTCACTACATTTTAATTACATCTTTCTAAAAAGTTTATAAATATTAAAAAATTTATTACTACTTAATGTAAAGTATTTTTAATGTACTTTCATAATATGTGCTAACTTTTTAATTTTATACTAATAGAAATATGAAATATTTTACCTTTAATATTGAGTGTTTCATGATTTTCATTGATTTTAATTACTTATTTCTTCTCAGGTGCAAGACTAAAAAATCCAATTTTTGTCTTAATATTTAAGTTTGAACTTCTTTTCCATTCTATTAAATTTTGGTGATGGAGAACGAGCTACTTTTCATTTTAAATTTAGTTTAAAAAATCTGCTGAAAAAAAGAATTTGTTGGTTAAATGCAGGTAATTTTATAACACTGAAGTTGGCTATCTCAATAGTCATGCAAAAATCTACTTGCATTTTAACCAACAAATTCTTTTTTTCAGCAGATTTTTCAAAGTAAATTTAAAATGAAAAGTAGCTCGTTCTCCATCACCAAAATTTAATAGAATGGAAAAGAAGTTCAAATTTAAATATTAAGACAAAAATTGGATTTTTTAGTCTTACACCTGAGAAGAAATAAGTAATTAAAATCAATGAATATCATGAAACACTCAATAATAAAGGTAAAATTTTTCATATTTCTATATTATAAAATTAAAAAGTTACCAAATATTATGAAAGTACATTGAAAATACTTTACATTAAATAGTTATAAATTTTTTAATATTTATAAACTTTTTAGAAAAATTTAATTAAAATGTAGTGACTTTCGACATTTCATAGGTAAATTTTAAAATCAATTTTTATCTATTATTTTGGGTATGTTTACATAATAATCTATTTATACAAGTAAATTAGCTCATTTTTAACAAATATCAATCTAGAAATTTGTATTATCTAAATTATGTCCATGCTTTTTATTAAATTTTCATAACTGTCAATCTAACCTTTTTTCTGTCCAACTCAATTTAAAAAT